ATTGTTAAAATTAAGGGAATTATCGAGATGAAGAAAGATAAAAAAGCTGCAACCTACAGATAAGAAGGAAAACAACTGAGAAGTTCTTAGAGTGAGCCTTGATGCCACTTGAGTTTTTGTCCCCATTCAAAGACTGTCTTGATTTTCTCTACTTCACCTGAGACAAAAAAAAATCTGCCTAAAGTAACAGATTTTCTGAAAGGAAGATTTGCTAGTATAAGGAGAGGCTCTGCTCTCCTCTGTAACATTCTAATGCGTATGAGTTGAATAAAACAGTGTCTTTCGTGGTTGGACCCGATGCATACGCCTGAATACCCAGTCAGCAACTCATTTACACTTGCTAAGATAAAGCATTGATTTCTAGGCTGAATAGTGAAAAAGTTTGTTTTCAGCTCACAAAGTCTAGTCCTGTAGTAAGTTGTTAAATTTGTTTCATACATCCACCATTTTTAAATAAACTATAACAAAACTGAGTCAAATAACAAAGCACAGAGAACACATTACAATGCAACCTGAATTCTATGTGCCTAGATCAAGGCGTATATATATATATGTAGAGAGAGAGAGAATAAGTTTATTTTCATTCCTAAATATTAAAATCTGAAAGCTGTCCACTTTTTCTAAGGAGAAAAATAAAATGTTTTAATTAAAGTTTTCAGATAAGTTCTTTCAGGCTTGGGAGAATAAATAACACAGAACAAAACATCGTCACATAGAATATTCTATAAGTCTTGTTTTAAGTATTTGAAAAGACCGTTTTAGTAAGGACTAAGGTTCAAGGTGGGTAAAAGGAGATAATCTGTTTACACATTGTATTACTTTTCATTGCTGTGATAGAAACATTGACCAAAGCAACTTGTGAAAGGGAGAATTTATTTGAGTTTACAGTTCCAGGGGAATTGCAGTCCATCTGGGTCCAGGGGAATTACAGTCTGTCTTGGCAGGGAGGCATGATGACAGAGGTGGCTGGAGGAGGAGGGGAAGCTAAGCTCTCACATCATCACGCAGGCACAGAAAGTAAGAGAGCAACTCCAGCTCTGGCAAGCCTTAAGAACTCTCTACGCCCGCCCCCAGTTGTGCGTTTCCTCCAGGATAGCCACACCTTCTAAGATCTCCCAAAACAGCATCACCAACTGGTGACAAAATGTCCAAATACTTGGAGCCTATGGGGGCCATTTTCATTCAAAACATCATAAGCATATTGCCCTTTATTTCATTTTGCCTCAATCATGGTAACACTATTTTGGATCTTGATGTGCATTTCCTAATCTCCATAACTATTTGCTTGGATGTTTCTATGTGCTTACCTCCAGAAAAACTCACAGTAATTTTTCATTACTTTCTGCAACATCAACCTCTTAACACGCGTCAGTAAGACCAATCACCCATCCAGAATTTAAGCCTCTGCAAAGTCCTAGCTGGCACATGTATATTTAAAAAAGGTATGTGTGTCACTGGTGTACCAAGGTCCAAGCACCCTAGAGTCTACCCTTGAACTGGGGAGTGCTTTAACGAAGACAACAGTACCTACCTAGCTTGCTTTTGGTTTTTCTGTTTCTAGTTGGTCGTAACTTTGCCCCAATACATTCTTTCTCTATCCTATTTTAACTTGAAGCTATTCTTATAGTAAGAAAAAAGTTTTTTACTTCCAGAATTCCTATAATTTAGCCTCCCTGCACAATTGTTCCTAAATGATTCAATGGTTTATTCACAGTTGAAACCTATGTATCCTCACTGCTAAGGTCTTGTCTTTTGAGTTTTAATTGTCAAAAATTGTTAAAGGATCTATGAGTGTCTGCTATTCTTTTTCTCCTCTTGTTTATATATTTAAAGCAATTCATGAAGAACTTCTTTTTTGTGTGTTTGTGAAAATGTGAAGAACTAATTAAACTACACATTTGAAAACAGTATTTCTTACGAATCAAAAGATGAAGTCCATGAGACATAAAACCATTCTGTTTGGACTCGGCCAATGTGTTTAAAGCTCTGAATCCCCACTGGCCATGAAATCTTGGCTCATAAGAAAATTATATCCCATCTCACTTTAAAAATTTTGAAGCTTGGGGGCTAGAGAGATGGCTCAGCAGTTAAGAACACTGGTTGTTCTTGCAGAAGACCCGTGCTCGAATCCCAGCACCCACATGGCAGCTAACAACTGATTGTAACTCCAGTTCCAGGGGATCCGACAGCCTCTTCTGACTTCTATGGGCATTGCATGACAAGGGTGCACTTCAATACATGCAGGCAATACACGCATACACATAAAATAGTAATAATAAATAAAAATTTTAAGTTAAAAAAAACTTGAAGCCTAATAGAAGAAAGCAATTGCACAACAAATCTTGCAAGATGTAAGGAGAAAAGGAAGGAAAATGTGCCAGGGTGTGTAAAAGTCTTCATGGCTGGGGAGGTTGATCAAGGATACAGAACTCATACGCTGTGGTTTCTCTAGCACTATGAAAACCTCTTTAGGAGGAGGTGATATTTAGGAACAAATTAAAGAAAATTATGTTACTACAACAGGGAAAGAGTTCAGTGTAAGAGCTGAGGTTGAGACATAATGAGGTCTTTCATATCAGAAGTAGTTTAGAGTTCATTTTGAAAACTGTAGAAGCTACTTTAAGGTTGTACTACAATACCTGGTGCCTTTCTACACTGATTTTCTCAGCTTACAGTTCATGCCTGAAGACTTATTTACAGCTACATATTATTCAAATAAAATTTCCATTTCCAAACTGGAAAGAAAAAAAAAATGCAGCATGGGGAAAGAACAGAATATTCTGAGGTGCTTGTTTTAAAAAATGTTCAAGTTAACTGAAGATATATTCATAATTTAACTGTTTAAAATATGAGTTACCTTAATCAAAGTCATAGAAGAAGATGGTATAGTCACATGGCTAAAACAGTAGGAGTTTACTTTCTCACACTTCCTGAGGCTAAAATTCTGAGATTCAGGTGCCTCAGTTTAGAACTTGGAGAGAACAAACCCGAGTTTATAATACACTCCACCAGATTAGGATACATATTTGAGTCTTTACAGGTGGTTTTTCTTAATATTAAGCATTCATAAATATAAATTTTTCTTATTTTTTATTATCATCATCATTTTCAGAGAATTAAATGGCTTCTTGGTATTTTAGAGAGAAGTTATAAAAATGGAGAACAAGAGATAGATACAAGTCCAGTAATGAGTTGTTCTATGCCAGGGAAATTATATCCTCACAGCCCAAATTTGGTTCTTTTTCTGCTGTGTAAATACAGGTTACAGGATCATTTTCCAAAATGCTTGAAAAGAGAACAGTTTTGGATTTCTGTTTTCCTTTTCCTTTTTTTTTTTTCATTCTGGGGTATTTCCATGTATAATGAAATATCTTGGAGATTAAGGTTTAGGTTTAAAAACTGATTCCATTTGTGCCTCATGCAACATATATGAATAAGCCAAATGTAATTTTACACAATATTCTTACTAATTTTGTACCTGAAACAAAGCTTCAGATTGATTATCAAGGGTTGGATAACTGAAGGAATTTTTTGTGCATATTATAATAAGAATAAAAGAAATATACATTTTTTGATTAAACATCAATGACATACTCAAAACAACATGATGAACATCCCGAAAGACTCACCTCTTCATCATGAAAACATTTTCTACTTTTCTTACACATGAACATTCAAAAATGCGCCGTAGAATCTCAAAATCTGTTCTGTTTATCTTAGGATTACTAAAGAAAATAGTTTCACTAGTGTTGCTCGACATTTTTTTCAGAAATGAACCTATGTTTTTTATGCCTGACTAATAATAATCAAATTTTTTCTTAATGATGACACAGAAATTTACAGCATAGACACCAACTAATTTCATTCACTTACAAAGGACAACAATAACAAAATCCCATAATTGTCTTAGTTGAGATTTATTTATAAAACAAAAGAGCTGAGGAAAAATACAAAATTAACTTCCCAAATCCAAGAAGGTGAATCATCCCAGGTGCAGTTCCTTTGTAGCTGAGGGTGGCTGGAGGCATGACAGGGTCTCTGTTTGCTTTCTCCCTCTGGAATCTCTTTCACTTCAGTTTAGAATCTCCAAGTGAACCTGATACCTGTCATTATCACAGAATACCACTAACTAGGTTCTGAGAATAGCATAGTTTTAGGATGGAGCCCAGAGCCACAACTTGCTTCATCCCATCTCTATCTAATATTTGACTTCTTCCTCAGGTTTCCTATTCTATCATCTCATAATACAGATACATGGTCTAGTACAACCACCTCCATTTACATGTAGTCAATGAACACTGGAAATATGGCTGGTTCAAATTGAAAAGTACTGAAAATGAAAAATACTCATCAGTATCGGAGATTCATTAAATAAAACATCGATACTAGTTAAATTAGTAACAGATATATTGGGCTATATAAATTACTAGAATTCATTTTACTCATTTGTTTTGTTACTAAAGAAAAAATAAATTATATATAATTATGGCATTTTAATTATACATATATATATTTGACTTGTACAATACTTCTGATGGACAGTGCAACTCTGGAGACTTACACATATTGAGAATTCATTTCCTTAGTCGTTCCCTTGTGTTTCAAGAGGCAAATAATTAGATCTAAGAAATTACAATTTTGTGCCATTTATGGGGGTGACATAATTGAGGCATAGTTATGGTATTTATGGAAATACAGAAACTAGGTAGGGTATGGTGCTAGGTAGCTTTACATACATCCTGGTTGCCTAGGTGCCCATACTTCCCCACCTCTCTTCTAAACATTCTTTTCCCACTATGACAGCAACTTGTCTACAGGTGGGCTTAGCAATACAAAAGGGCACAGTTTATGCACCTTCTATTTTTTAAAAAAACTATTCCTAATATCTATTAGTGAGAAACAAATCCCAAAAGGATGTTCTGCGAAGTTTCTCTTTTATTAAACAGGCAGTTGGACAGACAGCATTATGATCAGGTTTCCAGATCACAGACTAAGTAAAGATTTCTCTATGTCTCAGATCACAGAGTCTAGAGGAAAGAGATGGAAAGACTGAAAATCAGTGAATCCAATCCCCAAAGCTCTGCATTTATTCTGTAGTAAAAAGATAAGCTCTGAAGAATGCTTTGTATATGCAGATGGTAAAGGTAGGCAGTTCAGAATCGGGGCATAATTTTTTCCCTTTGTCTTTCACCAATCCTTGCATCATTTTTCCTGGAAGAAAAGATGGATTGGTTAGATGCTAGAACTCACAGACACTAAAGAGATGTACTCATACATAATCAAAGCAATGACATATTCCTGCATCATGCCCAAAACTAACAATTTTAAATCATGCTCACAGTCTATAAAATATGATGTTATGAATATAATTTGAGTGCCTACTTATGCCCTGTTATTTGTTGAGGTAGATACAAAAATGAACACGGCATAACTGTGTTCTTAATTTCACTGAATATTGGAACCCAAAACTTTATGAAACAAACACTAAAAGGCATAAAAGACCACAAAGTTCTCATACAATCATATAAGGAACTTCAATGCCCTCTCCCTCTCAATTTTTTAGATAAGGTCTTCCTATAGCCCCAAGTGTCCTGGCATTTGCTTTGTAGACAAGGCTGGCCTCAATCTCACAGAGATTCACCTGCTTCTATCTCCTGAATGTGAGGATTAAAGGTGTGTACCACCAGCCCAGCCCACTCTGATTTTTACATATATTCTTAGCATCATTTCACAGATGAGGATATTGTGACTCAGAGTTTGATGACTTTCTAAACTCTCAGGTTAGATCATAATGAGCTCAATTTCTGTAATGAGTTTTTTCTATTGTAGTGTTTTGAGGCCCTGGTCAGATCATCTGTATTTTCAAATATCTGGAACCCAATATTTAAAACATTAAATTAGCATTTGAAAATCTTTTACAAGTGAAAAAAAGACTCAGGAAGGTTTTTCTTTTTCCTCTGCATGTCAACTAGTATCAGCTGGGACATGAACAACAGAATTCCAATTCAAAATTTTAGTGTTTGTGTCAACTCTCAAGCTTGCCTCTGCTTTAAAAGGGGATTTCTGTGATCTTGCTGAATCTTTGAAAAATCTGTGCCATGAAGTTGAGAATGGAAATTGGTTAGTCTCAAAAAATCACCTTTAATGTAGAAACTATTTAGTACTGGTGGTACAGGTGGGTTATGAGAAGGAGTTCGAAACTTATCTCTTGATATATACAATTTTTTCTAATTGCGAAAATGTTTTGCTCTTAGTTTTCAGAATACTCTGGCAATGAAGGTATCATAGGCTAGGAGTCAAAATATCTGCATTGAAATACAGCTACTTCACAATTTGATATTAGAATTTTCCCCAGGCCAATTGTTTATGAAACAGGGATGATGATTACCTCTCTTTGCCATAAAGGAAAAGAAAAGTTACCTCAATCTTTAAAAAGCAGCATAGATCTTATCATTATATAACAGCTATTGCATAATTGAAGAGACTACTTAGATGTAAGTTAAAAGTATCCTCAACCTACTCAGAACGTTGATTCTGCCTTACATTATTCCATTTTTACAATGCTAGACTGCCTTGGAGAATTATCCACCCAGGAATAAAGCTCTAGAAATAGGTTCCAGTCATCAGGACACACAACCATAATCGTCATTAGAGCAATGTCCAGGCATGACCCATTTGGTACTATCTGTATCCAAGCTCACGGTACTCAATCATATAGGGGAGCTGAAATTTGATCCATGTCCACTATATCTTTTGTTATAATATTTTTCCACCAACTAGTATCATAATAATTGTCATTTATGAAACCTAGCAGAAAGTAACCATCCATAAATGAAAGGTAGGAGTTCTCTAATGTACTGATTCCTGGCAAAATTTTCAATTGTTTAAAGAAATATATCTTTGTGTAAATTTCAGGAAAATTCTTCATGAAGTAGTTTCGTTGAGTCACCTACACAGAATGAGGGTTACATGGAAGTGTGGTCTAACTGCATTCTATTAAATTGAACTTACATAAAAATTATTTAGACCTGCTTGTCTTCAGATATGTATCTGGGAATGTTTGTGAGGAGGAAGAAGAGTATATTCTTCCATGAAAATATAAAACAAACCATTAAGAATTTGTAAGTAATACAGTAGCAATAATGAACTAGGGTAAGTTTAAATTCTTTTCTTCTTATTGATGTGTAAAAGTCTAAAGTAAGTGAAATACCTCCCTGTCTGGATGAAAAGGAAATGGAAGTTTCACAGTTCTTGGTCAATGATATTATGCTTTCTCATCATTAACGTGATACTAGAAATATCCCAAGTTGTAGCTTTTGTATTCCTAATTTTCCATGTCAGGCAATATGGCCTCATGTAGTATTGCTTGACTAAGATTTCCAATCAAGTGAAATACTTCCCAGTTCTATTATTCCCAAAGCTTTTTGTGGTACTGCAATGGAGTAAATGCATTTTTGAATAATAAGAACTTAATAAATATCATAAATTTTAATGATTTTAACGTGGATTTTTTAATGTTGGGGAAAATAAAAACCTGTGTGATATGTAAAGACATATTACATTAGAAGTGGTTTCAATCCATTCCTTTAGTCCCAGTACTTTGGAGGCAGAGACAAGACGATCTCTGTGAGATCAAGGCCAGCCTGGTCTGCCCAGTAAATTCCCAGGCCAGCTGGGGCTACAAGGAGCCCCTGTCCCTCCCCCCAAAAATATTGTTTTAATCCAACTCTATTTTTCCTCTCTTGGTCTCTATCTATTTCATCTTTTCATTATGAATCACAGAAAATAAAGCCAACACTGGAGAAAGTCATATTAGAATAGATACCTTGCTCATGAACAATCTAATAATGTTAAAGAGTTTAACGCATAAACTGGTATATCATTATTACCACATGCTTCAGTGATTACTTAATCATCCCAGTGATCACCTGAACTAGTATAACTTCACTGGTCTGACAAATTTCCCTTTCCCAGTGCAGGAGAACAGAAGCAGAATCAACCGCTCCTACCACCATAACCCAAAGGAGGTGTACTCACAGAGGCGGGCATGCCAGCAGGTTCTGGGGTGCTGGTCTCCTCACACTTCCCTATACTCCGTATGTGTGTATTAGTTTGACGCATCCTAAAACAAGAGATGATGTTTCAATGGTGGTAAAATACACATATATAATTAGAAAAAATGTGGCTGATATCTGAATACACGTTCAAACTGAAATGAGTGGAAATGCCTGGAATCTGTGTTGAACCATTTTCTGGTTAGCATCATCCAGGTCCAGTTGTTCCCTTCTTTTGTAAATTAATCTCTAGCTGATGAATGTAATTAAATTCTAACGAATGTAATTAAATTCATTACATTTCAGTCACGAATTTGCTGATATGATTATTTAATCCTTAATACAAAAATCATTGATTTAAATTTATTTTATTTTATTATGTTGTGTGTGTTATTATGTGTTGTGTGTGGTGTGTGTATGTGTGTGTGTGCCATGTGTATGAGAGAAAGGGAGGGAAGAGAGAGAGAGAGAGAGAGAGAGAGAGAGAGAGAGAGAGAGAGAGAATGGGGTCTGGAATTAATTCTTTGCTTCTTCCATGGGTTCTGGGAATTAAACTCACGTAGTTGGGTCTGTGTGGTAAGCATCTTCACCTGCTACACCATCTCACTGGTGCAAATGCCTTTATTTTGTAGATGAGGAAATTAGATCACAGAGAGAAATTTGACTATATCAAGTATCTAAAACACAACTTTAGGAATAGAGACTACGACAAAGTGCAGTAGCACAGTCAATTTTGTAACTTCAAATGATATTTAAGAGTTATATTTTCAGACCTTTCACTTAAGAAACATTATGAAGCAAGCTTCTAACTTTGTGTTTGTAGTGATGGGAAAGCATTTACTGTCTATCAAGAAAGAAGAATAAGTTTGAGCATTGCTTAATTTAAAGTTGCTTCCCTATAACATCATCTAATGCCTCAGGAAACAATATTGATTTCTTTTTCCTGAGACAGCCTGAATCTTCTCTCTAACACAAGAGTCCCAGCTTCCTTAGCCAAGGCAGTCACTCCAAGGCCTGCTTTATTAGCATTTTTATCACTTGATTTCTTACTCTAAGCTTTCCTGATTACAGAAACACTATGGATTTACACAGTTAATGAGAAGTTTGATGAAATTAGGCTATAGAGATGGCTCAGCGGTTAAGAACAATGACTGCTCTCACAGAAGACCCGGGTTTGATTCCCAGTACCTACATGGTTAACAACTGTCTCTAGCTCCAGTTCCAGGGGATATGACTCCCTCTTCTGACCTCTGCAGGCATTCTATGACACGGGTGCACCTACCTACATACAGGCATTACACTCGTACACATATAATAAAAATAATAAATAAAATATTGTTGTAAAAAGTTTGATGAAATTATATTGATAATTTAGGTCTTGCCATTTATAATAAAGAAGAATTGAAGAATTTGGGGTTGGACAATATGTCGTATGTGTGTGTGTGTGTGTGTGTGTGTGCATACTAACTGACTTCCTGGAAAGTTTTATTTCTTTTTCTTGACCAAGGATTTTCTCTTGATAGATTTCAGGTAGTCTGTGAACTCATAGGTACTGAATGTGCAAATCATGTCACATCTTCATATTATCAAAGGAATTTTCAGTCTCATAAGTGGAAAGGAACCATTGTTTTGAAGATAACGGTATTATACTGGAGAAATTAAAGGGAATCAATAATTATTTAGACCCAGAAGCAATAATTATTTATACCCAGAAAAGACAAGTTATTGTCTAATTTATTACTGGCTTGCAATGTTTAATGAAGTTCTTGAACTCTCTAAGCATCAGATGCACTCTCTTTGCTAAGACAGTAACAGGACTCCATGTCAGGTTGTAGGAAACTATTGATTGAATGTCAAGATGACTTATCTACCCCACTGTACCACATATATGTATAGATAAAATAGCATATATGTACATAGGCTCATAGTTCACACTTCTAAGCATATGACTTGAATTTTCTTTCATGAGTTATTAATTCAATAAGAAATAAGTGGAAATTAAAATAAATTTTCTAGGATTGATTGGGGGAGCTATCACAGAAATCAATATTTATGCCCTGGTTCCCTTTTTTTCCCAGTCGGGTAGGATGAGATGAGAAATGTAAAGGTTATCATCATACATATAAGGAAAATACGTCACATGGAGGTTGGGAAAGGGTGTGGGATGTGTGTGGAGACAAGGAAAAGTAATTGTAAGATTAAATCACATTTGAGCAAAAAATCAACAAAGCTAAAACAAACAATGAAAGAACTGAGCAGTTCTTTGTGCTTAATATAATAAAGATACTTTCATACCTAAGTACCCTTCAATAATCTGTGAACTCAGCAGCTCAAAGAACTGTCTCCATTTCCTCAGTGAAGAAACTGAGGCACCACATGATGAGATGACTGTCAAAGACATGCAGATGGCAATGAATCTGACCACACACCAGCTGTGCCATCTCTCCCAGAGTTCTTTCTTTTGTTAGGCACCACTTCCTTCAAGAGGAAGGCTTACAGTCGATAGCTAATTAATGACTCTCTTATAGTCATAAAATCTTTTGGACATTGTAGGTGGTACTGATACCATGTGGCCACAGTTCTTTGGATATTATAGTGGCACTGACACCGTGTGGAGGTGATTCTCTAGATATTGTCGGAACTGTTGACATCATTTGGTGGCAGTGCTCAACTGCTTTCCTCTCTTACATACAAGATGGATGATGTTCACACTCCCAAGTGTCTACATGTGTCTGCACAGGCTTATAGAGATGCTTCGTTTTAAAAATATTTTTATTTTTGTGTATGACTGTATTGTCTACATGTGTGCAAATGCACCAGTGTAGAGCAGTGCCCAGGGAAGTCAAAAGAGGGTGTCGGATGCCCTGGAACTGGAGTTATGAATGGTTGTGAGCCTACATATGAGTTACTGGGAATCGAACCCTGGTCCTCTTAACTGCTGAGCTATCTCTCCAGCCCCTAGAAATGTTCTTTAATCATTGAAACCCCTTTATTTTCCCCTTTCCCTTTCTTTTCCACTACTACTTTAAAGTTTATAATAATGGAGAAACACTTATTAAAGTCATAAGATTATCTGTTTTTTTTTAATTTTAAATATAAGAAAAGATAATTCACAAATTTTGAATTTTTCCCTGGTGATTAATAAATGACTTGCAAGAAACATCTAATATATGTCAATACAGCACTGTAGGCAACAGCACAGTTGGAAACCTCTACACTGGAAGGTGGGATGGTGTAACCTGGGTACTTACAGGTTTTCATGACAGAGCATGCAGGGGTTGTTGTATGTTTGGCCATCATCACCACAGACAAACTGAAAATTCTTTGGGCAAAGATAACCCATCCTGGGCAATACTCGGTAGTATTTGCACATATCAGAATCCTAAACAAGCCAAGCAGAAAGCAAAGTTGCTTAAGAATACAAGTGAAAATATGGGCTTGGAGAAGCTTTTGGATTTCTTAGTTATATGAAACTCATTGATTAGGAACAGGACTGTGATGTATTATTCAAAAACATATGTTTACCGCACATCATATTAGGTGGCCATAAATGCCTGAATTTGTCTTATTTTAGCTAGAGAAATATTTAAACAAAAAAGCCAATAATGACTAAGAAGAAGAATTCCTCTAAAATAAGAGGCACGGTAAGCTGGGGCATATCCACAGAAACTAAAGAATATAATCATGCTGGAAACAGCATTCTGTTTTTTAAAGACCAAACTACTGGTTTTGTATAAAGAAAAGCAAGTAGCTCTCCTATTATGGCCTTTAGAGATTGAATCAAATAGTGCATTTAAATACATACTTGACACATATATGTCATACACTAAGTGTTCTGAATTAAATATTTGTATGTTTCTTTTCCTGAGTAAAAATATATTTCCAGAAAAAGAGAAACATTTATTTTTATAGTCTTTTGAAGTATGAATTGGATAACAATTAATACTGATATTAACAGAAATGACAGCTACAAACAAACCTGTCTTAAAAAGGCAAAAAGCTAAAGTCAAAAGAAAAAGGATAGATTTGAATGCAAGGGAATAATGGAGGCTGAGATCCAGCATGAGCCGACATTTCAGATGTTAACAAACAAGTACTCCACCTAAAGGCAGACATGATCCAGCAGAAACAACAGCAAGTACAAGCTATTTAAGTTTGCAAGAAAAATACTTTATGGGATAGGATTGTAAATCAGTAGTGGAGCAATTTCGGGGCACATAGGAGGCCCTGTGATAGATCCCCAGCACTGAGAGAGCGAGAGTGAGAGTGAGAGCGAGAGAGAGGTTGAAAGTAAAAGAATGGGTACTACGTAATTCATAACTCGCCGTAATCGTGAAAGAATTTGGAAATGGTTAGATGAAATGAGAAGGGAAATTACAAACTGCAAAATTCCAGCAGCTAAAGTGGAGATTTGAGTAAAAGTCATGATTTTGCTCACAAAGTGGAAAAGAAGATTGTTCTGGACTCATATCTAAAGAAGCTACTAGATAACAAAATAAGTCCTTCAAACAAAATTAGGAGTTAAAAAAAGATAAAACAGCAAACAGAAAAAAAACAAAAGTTATCTGTGTGAAAAAATTGCTAAGTTGATAATTTACTTGCAAAATCATTTTCTAAAAGCAGGGAAATAGTCATCAGCATTATTATAAAGCCATCACTACATGAACAACAGATATTCAAAGGATAGCATGGAAATATAACTACATGTCAATATATTTGACAATATAAATGAAATTACTAAGTTCTTCGAACATCTTTCAGAAATGAATCTAAAGAGAATATTAAAGCTTCAACCATATCAATATTATCTATTTAAATATTTATTTCAGGGGAATTAAGCACTATTTTTCAAATGTCAGTTTCTGTTCTATGAAAAATTCAAGCATCTAAACCCACTACTTCAGGTTGTGGCATGTTTCCATGTGGTGACAGCAACTTCCGAGAATGCCAGCAAAGCAGGACTGAAGTGGGTATGTCTGTCATGTTCTTCAGATAAATGTTACTGCAGTGTTTACAAGTATTAGAATAGAACACTGTAAAGAAACAGCAGAGAGAAGGAACAAAACCAGATACCTTTCAGTTTCTTCTTTCATCAATTCTGAACCAGTTTGACTGACTCTACCTTCAAAATAGACCCAGTATTCAACTACCTCTCATGAATTTCTCTACTTCCAAGATGGCACAAACCATCACTTTCTTTCCTGAGGATTATTTCAACTGCTAATGCACCACTGGGCTTCTGCCCTGGCCTCTCTGCAGAGTGTGTTCTAAAGGACTCATCACACAGCTGCCATTCCTTCCCCATTGCTGTCTAGGGTATTGGGTAAGGATTCGGTGGTGAGAGGCAAGTGAAGAAAAGCTGAGTAAGGGACCTCTCTGAGCTGCTAGAATTGCAGAATCGTAGCATCTCATTGTATCATCAACCACACAGAAAAATAATTGAACTCACTGGAGACACGCTTCTGAAAAATTCAAGCTGCAGTAAATTTGTCAGAGTAAGTAATCTCAAAAAGCAGAAACATATGGTGATGGGTCATCCTAGAGCTCTTGCCAGCCAAGAGCTGCATTTGTTCCTTAAAGTACTGGAACGTTGCTCTGAATCACCTACTAGACCATTTATGCAAATGAAAATCATGGACAAGGGACAGCAGGTCTGAAAATCAAGGGAGAAGCTTCTTACCAGAGACCATTTGAAAGGGTCTAGACTGCCTTCCTCTTTCGAAGCTCTAATGTGTGGTGACTCTTCTTGAAGTGCAGCCTTCTCCATAGCTTCTTTTTCACTAGAGGAAGAAATTTAAAATATTTTTCACAGGACCTCTCTGTAACCTCCAGTAGAAAGATAAACAGTTTCAGTCAAATTTGAGAGAACCCTAGAACATTCAATTAGGGTGTGTATGACCAGGATTTTTGAGACAGGGTCTCCTTGTAGCCCCAGATGTCCTGGAACTCACTATGTAGACCAGGCTGGCCTCGAACTCACAAAGATCTGCCTGCCTCTGCCTCTCAAGTGCCACTATGCCTGACCAAATGTATTTTTTTTAATTTTTAAAAACCTTTATTTTATGTGTATGTGTGTATTGCCTGCATGTAGGTAAGTGCATTGTGTCATGCAATGACTGCAGAAGTCAGAAGAGGCTGTCAGATCCCCTGGGACTGGAGTTACAGACAGTTGTTAGTTGCCATGTGGGTGCTGGATTTGAACCTGGGTCTTCTGCAAGAACAATCAGTGTTCTTAACTGCTGATCCATCTCTCCAGCCCCAGGATGATGCATTTTCAAAACATATACAGGCTAAGATCCAGAGAACATAAAACACCAAACGCTGGCAAGGACGTGGAGAAAAGGCTCATTCACTGCAAGTGGGTATGCAAACTTGTGCAACCACTATGGGTAGCAGTGTAGAGAACTCTCAAAAAACTAAAAATGAATCTATCATATGATCTGGTTACACCAGTCCTTGGCATATACCAAAAGGACTCATCCTACTGTAGAGATTGCTGTACATCCATGCTTGTTGCTGCTCTCTTCACAATAGCTAAGAAATAGAAATAACCTAAATGTCTGTCAACTGACAAATGTATAATGAAAATGTGGTACATTTACACAACGGAGTTCTACTCAGCAATAAGAAAGGATGAAATTATGAAATTTGTAGGCAAATGGGTGGAACTAGAGCGTGTTATACTAAGTGAAGTAACATAAACCCAGAAAAGCAAGCAACATATGTTCTCCTTCATTTGCAGACCATATATATGTGAGTATATATCCTGATGTAACACCAGGAGCTAGTAAAGTGGAAAGGAAACATGGAGGTAAAGGAAAAGAAAGAACCTAAAAGAGGGGGATAGTAGGGAACAGATGTTGCGGGGGGGGGGGAGTAGGAGTGTACACCTGGGAGGACAGAAGGGAGTGACATGTAGGGGCCCATGGTGGGGGAGGAGGGAACTCAGGAGAGGGGTATGGCAGGAGGTGAGTGTTACAGGGGAAGGGAAGGGATAAAGGTGATGTGAAAACACAAGTGCTTCTTACTGCTACTGTGTCCATTGGTCTTGAAATTTTGTTTTTCATTAGACAAGCCATTTGGCCCTTAAAATTCTTACTTAATATACTCCGAGGCATAAAATTTTGTTTCTTGGAATAGTGTCTTCTGAGAGTGATTTGAAAGTGGAGGGGGAAGTGGTACAGAAAATGAGTGCTGTGGTTGTCCGGGGAAGAATTTGCACATGCATTTCCTGTCTCCTAGCATTTTTCCTGCTGTATCCGGCATTCTTAACTTACAAGCCTTAGTTGTAAAGATTTAGTTTTAATTTCCTTAGACTCAACAGCACACATATTTATTCAATCAACAATGTGTAGAAATGCAGTGTCCCTGCTGGCAGAAACCACCAGAGCAGAGTCGCTTTACTCACAGGACATCTCTGCACTTGGAGCACTTATTTTCGTTGAACGTTGCGTCCGCATCACCCACCATATCATCATTTTGTGTACAGATGAGCTTGTCATCCCTCATGAGCTTTCGAAACTCACTGCATTCATCCTAGCAAATGAGAAAGGGGAAGTGAACGTGGTCTTTTCCCTTTTGTTGCTGGGTGGTTTTCTCAAAATTGACTTTAGGGAGATCCCGCTTGTCTCTGGGCTGGAACTTACTACACTGATCATGGCGATGGAGGCAAAAGACCTTCCAGGCTGGCTCAGCTTTGCATCCTCTGCTTTGTTCTGAACGTCTCCACACTGATCCTGAAAGATGGGGAAACACAAGCCCATACGTCACAGCTGTTCCTTATCTCCTGCTTGGTTCACCTATCCTTCCTTTCCCTCCTTTCAGCATGAGGCTTGCTCTTAATCTGAGGAGAATCTCATAGCCCTCTAATGCTACTAATGTGATTATCATTGTTAAATGGACAAATAGAGATGTCTTTGCAGTCTTGAAAAGCAAATAGAAACAGCAGCATGATACACGCACACTATTGATTCCTGGATGCTGAGAAAATTGTCTGGAGAAAACAAAACAAGACATCAAAAAGCAAAGCTAAACAGGAAGCCTGAGGTTTGCTAACGTTACGGGAATTATTAAAGTCAGTATCAATTAGCTACCTAACACCTCCTTTTACATTTAAGATGTCAGAGAGAAGCATGCAATTGAGGTCACAGGAATTTGAACCCTCTGTTTTTCAATCCATATTTCTCCTAAAGCAGAAAGACAGACTCCATGGGAGAATTCTAAAAATAAGAAAACCAGGAAGAAAAAAACAAAACAAAACGAAACAAAAGAAAAACAAATAAGGCATTATGGCCCAAAGTGATATTGTTGTCAAAATCAATTTGATTTGAAGTAAAATGTTAGTATCTTTATTCTCCAAAACATAGATGAAAGGTAAGACTGGGAGGGTGACTAGTGAAGCCATTTGGGTGTCTTTGAAGAAGTCACCTTTGCATCATTTGAAGGTCGAGACCTGGATTTTTCTTCTTTGTTTCTTTTCCTTTCATTGGCTTCTCGCTCACTGCAAAATTTAAAAAAAAAAAATGATAATTTTTTTCTAGCACTGTTATTGTATTATCTTTAACCAGATTTTTTCAGACTGAAACATTAGCAAATATATCTAAAAATATAAAAAAGTACTTTTATTATTTAGCTCTGAATGCTAGAATTTTTATATTTGCGGTAACATTGCCAACATGTCTTCATCTGTTACTGTTCTATCATTTGAGGATCCTACAAGACCATTACTTCTTTTCCTTAATTTCTCTTTTGTTTTTACGTTTATGCTCATAGTATAACTAAGCTCTCAGTTTTGATTGCTTTATGCATAGTTATAGTGCTATTCTATATTTAAGATGAGCCAAGATGATTAATGTGAACTGCCCATGTCAATAAACACTCTTTTCTTTAAAAGACAATGACTTGCAACTGTATAATAATTGCTTTCCCACCTTATAAGTGTCAGGTATAATTGTGTCTAATCATAAAAAAAAATAAGTTGCCAAAATCCTTTGTGAAAACTAACTGTACACAAACAAATACATATTTATTCATAATGTGTAAAACCAAGTATCACAGGTTTGTAAATGACAGGAATTATATTCTGGAAAACATGAACAATTTATCAAACTCATTGATAAGCCTCTCCACATACAAAATGCTCTGACACATGGCACACTTGTTAACATGCATCTTGCCATCCGGGCCTCGAATAGGATCATTTTCTCTAGTGCAGATAAGCTTTCCATCTTGCTGCATGCTCCGGAATTCATGGCATCGGTCCTGAAAACAGAAGAGGAAAGCACATACTACTACCATAGTCTAATCCTTATTATTTGAAAACATCATTAAATGGTGAGATGTGAACTTATAACATTTTACAGCTCTGTTCTCCAATAATTTTTTCATATATTTTAACATCTATTTATTTTGTTTCTGTGGGTGCATGTGGGTATGTATATGTATGTTGGCATACACCATGGCACATGTGTAGAGGTGATGGGACAACTTGTGGAGTTGGTTTTCTCCTCCCGCCATGTGGCTTCTGGGGGTAAAGCTCAGGGCTTCAGGGTTGGCAGCAAGTGTTTTTACCCACTGCATGATCCCACCCACCCAATAATATTTTAAATATTTCTATCACGTGTATAACATGTTAAGCATTTTTACATGCTCTAGTGGATTTTTAAGTGTTCACAGAGATCTCATATGATAGGCGTTTATTCTCCTCATTTTACATTTTAGAAAATGAGTTTCAGAAATGTCAAATAGCTAAATGTTGGATATATAAGCAGAAACATGCTAACAACTTGGCTATTCGGTTTTACTTCTTTGGTCTTTATAAGAAAGACAATAAAGCAATTGATCTGAAAGAAAATACAAGTGATTAATTTTTGTTGATTGAAAAAACTCTAATCTTAAACAAAGTCAAGGAAACTGAGCCCATGACAGCTTATTTATGTTGAAATCTTTAGAGAGTTATAGCAGTCTCCTGAACTCCCTTTAACTCCAGAGAAACAAAATAGATGTATGGAAATGCAATCTTTATCTTAAAAATATTGCTATTTAAGCTGGGCGTGGTGGTGCATGCCTGTAGTCCCAGCACTTGGGAGGCAGAGGCAGGTGGATCTCTGTGAGTTCAAGGCCAGCCTGGTCTACATAGTGAGTTCCAGGACAGCTGGAGCTACAAGGAGACCCTGTCTCAAAAAGACCAAAAAAAAAAAAATTGCTATTAACCTAAATTGTAGTTTATTCTTTATTTATAGAAAAAGCCATGCCTAATTTTATCCACTGAATTAAAAAAAATCTCTGGAATTGAATACCTTATTACTGTATTAAGTGTTTCAAAAATATCGTTTTCAGAAGTAGCTAGAATTTTATTTTCCTGATGCCTACAATGTCCTCATATAATTAACAGCAGTCATCTCACAGCAGCCCTTACTCTAAGGATTTGGTCTCTTGATCTTTATATTTTTTATGTGTGGTTATTGTCTCCTGAATTTTTCTCAGTTGTGAAATTTGAGTAATCCATGGAAAAGATTTTAGGGCTGTTTAAATGAAACATTTTGCTAGTTTTATTTTGTTTGCATGTATAAAGAAAGACATAGCTCTCTTTTGACACAGTAAAACTCAGTATTTTATAGATATGCATATATAGAAACTTAAAACTTTACTTTTGAATTGGATTTCATAGATAGGGGTTGTGCTGTGTTTGATTTGTGAAGATTGAGAAGTATTTGTAAACCCCCAAATAGAACACCAGGTGGCAGTCAAGTGCCAGCTAGAGAAGTTCTCATAGGCGCTCCAAATGTATTTGCTTTCTTTGTGTGTGCGTGCGTGCGTGCGTGCGTGCGTGCGTGCGTGAGATGAAGTAGTGATGAGACGGATGGGAGACACCCAAGTGTTTTTTTTTTTTTGGCTTTTGGAGACAGGGTCTCCCTGTTGCCCCGGCTGGCCTGAAACTCACTATGTAGACCAGGCTGGCCTTGAACTCACCTGCCTCTGCCTCCCAAGTGCTGGGATTATAGGCATAGGGTAGGCCACCACGCCCAGTGTGTTTGCTTTCTTGCTCACACCTTTTGGTGTTTCTCTCCCCTTGTGAAATTAATCATCGAGTGGATAATCACAAACGGATCATTGTTGCTAGTCCTACGAATGTGCACTTGCATTTGAGTTGCTCTTAGGGCACAGAACTACAAGCTAATTCTTTCTAAGGTGTAGTCACATCTTTTTCATCTACTACCATATTCTCAGTGATTGGAAGAGGCTGAGTGCCTCAAAAGTATTTTTTTAACTGATTCCCCCCTATGATGCACTGTTTGATTAAGGTCCTTTCACTTTAAGAATTTGATCACTCTGAGAGATCAGATTCCAGGCAGAAAGAATCAAGTCAAACCTCCTGGCCAGCCCTGGACTCTAGCTCCCCTGGGGCTACTCTGGTCTGCATCACCTTTGTTGGCAATAGAAATATGTAAATAAATGTGTCTCTTTATCTCTGCCTCTCTATCTCCTGTACATAGGGGAAAACCTTATAAACACATGCTATCATAACCACCCCAAGCAAACAACTCTGATATTTTTCTTGAAACTGGCTTTGAGCTATGGTTGGGCTCCACAACCCCTGGAGCTCTCTCTGCCTTTCTGCCTGGCATACTCTCTGACCATCACCACCATGGTTGTGAGGCAATTTCTCTTAATGAAGCTCATTTTCTGAAGGATAATTTCATGCCAGCTCCTTTCTTGAAATTTCACTCTCTTCTTATCAGGCACCAGCCAAATTCAGATATCAGTCTGTCTGACCGATTACCTCCTTGTCCTCGCTGTTTTTGTCTGGGTTTCTCTTGTCTTCATCCTCTTTCTTTTTCTTTTCAGCTGCTTCTCTTTCCCTGAAAGAAAGGATGGGAAGAAACATTTCTACCACTGTGAGTAAATCTCATTGGTTATAAGACTTGCTTCTAAAACTGCTGCTATTTTCTGACTGCTAAGAAGTGATTAATAAACTTTCAAGACTCCAGTCAAAGTCCTTGTTTTGGAAAACACTTACAGTCTTTCCTTACACATAGCACACTTATTGCCATGTGTCTTGCCATCTGGACCACGGGTTGGGTCACTTTCCCGAGTGCAGAGAAGTTTGCCATTTTTCATTTGACTTCTAAACTGATCACATATGTCCTGAAAAATAAGGAAAGATTATCAGAAATGCTGTTTTCACGAGTCTTTTATTCAATTTGGAATTCAGAAAACTTCCATCCAAATGTCTGGCAGTCACTGAACCCTGTTGCGGTAGGCAGAATTATGATGTAAGGACATCCATGTCCTAATTTCTGCAATCTGTAAATATGTTGCTTTATTTGTCAAGGTAGAATTATGAGAAATCAAGGGTGCAAAACAGTAATATTTGAACGAGGGAGATTATGCAGGATTAGTGGAGAAGCCCCATGACAATCACAAGAGCTCTTGTTCATGAGAGAGGGACTCAAGGGAATGAATTTCAGGACAGAGACTAACATACACTTGAGTGGCCACAGCTAGTTTATAGGTAGCCACAAACCAATGAAGGCAGGTAGTCTCTTGAAGTTAGAAATGGCAAAGAACCAGGTCCTCCACTAGAGCTTCCACAAAGAAACACAACCTTGGGGCTAGCGAGAGCATTTACAACTTCTCAACTCCATAAAAGTTGATAATAACCTTGCATTGTTGCAAGTCAGTTTGTAGTATGCTTTTATAGCAGTAATATAAAACTATTATAATTATAGGACCTCGTTTTTTCCCAAATAACATTACAATGCCCCCCAAATAACACCTTTGTTGACTAGGTGTTGAGAGAACTACATGCACTACTATTCATAAAATTGCTTTATGATATATTGCACATAAAGATCTCTGTTTGACAATAAATACCACACTGAGCAAGTTACCAGTGATGTTTGTGCTGATGTTGGCTCAGATCTTCTAAGACCATCTCCACTGACCATATTGACGATCTCTTCCCACATTTTTATAGCTTCAATCAGAAAGTCCTGTCCAAACTCAGGTAATCACTTACCTTTCCTGTTGCTGATCCAGTCCCATTTGATCTTGAACCTGAATATTTATTTTTTTCCTCTATTTCTTTCTGCCTGTGAGAGAAGGGGTAACAGTCATCTTGTCAGCACATACACAGGGATGAAAGGACCTCAGAGTATGTGTCCTAAAGCTTCTCTCTCATAGTGAATATCTCCGCTCCTCCTTTAAATGCACCTTATGAAGATCCCAGAGCAAGAGGTTCCTTCACCACAAGACGCATCAACACAATTACAAAGTCTCCACTATTACTGCCCAAAACTCATCTCCTGATAATGTCCACCCTATATTCTTAGTCCAGATTCTTAGAGCAATGGTCCATGATTGTGAGGTTGACCCATAATAACACTTTTAAAGTATGGAAGTCAAAATAGAAAAATATCAATATAAAAATGGAGAACTCAAATTAAATGCATGAAAATTTAACCAAGCTAATTATTTAAAAAAGATGTCTTTAATGATTAAGTGTGGTGGAATTCTGATGATAGAATTCTGCTCAGACTCCAGCAGGGGTTTGGGGAAATGACTCAGTTGGCAGGTAAATTGCTTGCCTCACAAGCACAAGGGCCTGAGTTCAAATCCCCAGCACCCACATATAAAGCAAGAGTTGGTGGCACATGCTTATACTCCCAACACTGGGGACACACAGACAGGAGGATCTGTGGGAATTGCTGGCCAGATATCCCAGGTACCCCACTCAAAATATATGCAGAGTAATCGCTAGGCTTGTATTCAGAACTGGATTCTCACTTGAGCCCAGAAGTCCACTCCTCATGAGACTGTAAGTAAACTAATGTCAGGGTTTCTCATCAGTAAAATTTCAGCATTTGGATAAGAGTTTATCACATGGCCTTCACTGCCAAAACACTGAATTTTTTTTCTTGTAACAGAAACGAATGCATGTATAATATGTTGTGAATGGGGCACATTGAATATTCATTAATCATACAACAATTAAATGCCATAATTAGGAACATCATGGTATGTTTAAGACCTTAAATGTTCTTCAGGGTCACCTAGAATATTTCAATTTATAAATGGAACTTGAAAAATTGAATTGTGTTATTTACCATACCAAGAGAAATTAAAGTGGCTGAACTATTTATAAAGAGCTCTAATTCAGTGCCGTGCACCACAAGAAAATAAGTAGAAGTAACAGCTCTTGCTTTGTAGTAACAAGAAACCAGCTCTCTCAAATTGGTCAACTGTTCCTAATGAGCATCATGAAATCTTGCTAGGATTTCAGGACAGTGAAAGCTGATCTATCATGACACCTAGAGGTCACAGAATTACAATGGCAAACAGAGGCGGAATCAGCCACTTGATTATCTGCTGTTCTTGATCCTTAGCAATTCAAGAAAAAGAGCTACGATTTAGATTTAACAAAAAAAAAGTTACTTTCTAGGAGACAGAAATGCTAGTAGCTCAGGAAAAATAACTGAATTTTAGACATGCCTGTTAGGAAAGCACTTACAGTAATTCTTTACACATGACACATTTATTGTTGTATGATTTCCCATCAGCACCACGAACAGGGTCACTCTCCCGAGTACAGCTGAGTTGTCCATTTTTCATACTTTCCCAATACTGAGCACATACATCCTGAAAGGGGAGAAGAAAACAGGTCTCCTGAGTTACTTAATCTATTTTATCATTACCAAGTTCATGAAACAATTAGGGTAAAAATATTCTGTGTATCACCTTTGCGATGATAGTATATCATCTAGACTTGCTGTCCACAGAAAAAGAGAGGCTAGAATTATCCATATTCTAATTAGAAGGGGTCAGTTGCCACAGCCTTTAATGTTGCTTTAAATATTCACATAGGGAAATTATAAAGTGTCTGGAATCTAACAGCATAGATTAAAGGTTAGACAATTGCAGCCCAAAGACCAAATATATATTACCGCCTGTTCTGAAGTGTAATGTTTTAGGAAACACACTTTCATTTATTTTTATAGATATTACGTATGACTCTTTTCCAACAAAAATGCAAAATGTAAAGTTGGACAGGTTCTGCCATGCTATGGAGAAGAGAGACAGCAAACCTGAACATGTCTACTTCCTGAGAGGGAGAATTCAGCCTCCTAAATCTGAAGAGGTAAAAACAACAATAACAAAAACAAAATAAACCCAAGAAAATGTAGATTTTATCACAGTTATTTATTGGGACTAATAGATTCTGAAGCAAAGAAATGGTATTGATATCCAAACACCATGAAAAAATGAACAGGGTGGCAGAAATCTTATGATGACATTGTACCGTATTCCATGCAACAGTGTAGTGTCATGCTGACACTGTAAAATGTCACAAAAGTGCTAACCATAATTCAATTAGTTTGTTCTTTCTCTTTATGGTACTTCTAGTTGAGAGAGATGAAGTAATTTATTCAAAGCTTCCCAAGTCCATGTGGTAAGGGACAGATTGTACTGACTCCAGAGTCTGTGAAAAGATACCCCCAAACTAAGCCTTATCCAAGGCAGTAAGGATAATGGGATCCAGTGAAGAGCACGTGATGCCCATGAGAATGAGCACTGACACAAGGGCTAGGCTACTAGGCCAGGGTCAGAGCACTTTAAATTCATTATTTCTTTATTTCTGGATTTTTAAAAGCCAAAAAGAGTCCTAGGGAGCCCTCCATTGCGAATGTCTAAACCTACAGGTGCGAAGTGGCCTTCTTCTGTTCCCCGAGGACCTGTCTCAGCACTGGCTACATGCCCCTGCACCTCGGGCCCTGGCAGAACCTCTCTGGCAGAGTCCAGCCACTCTGGCTGTGAAAATTAGGGCTTGCTCTCACCTTCACATTCCATCTTTCACCACTGGGTCTATGTCCTGAAGTGATTCTTTGATTTTCCCCTTCTTTCTTCTTTCTTTCTTCATTTTCTTTCTCACTGCACATTAAAAGTGGAAGATAAGGAACAACAGTTTACAGAAGGAAGAGCACATTCTGTGAACGTATCACTGACTCGGTTAGCTCTATGTGGAATCTGTTAGCCCTGGCTTAACATCTGCTATCTTGTAGGTAGGTTCTCTTATCTGAAAATATAAAAGATGGATTATGTGGAGTCCTTTCCTTGGGGGTCCTCATTAATGGAAAAGCAACATATACCTGACCATCAATAAGTAAAGGTGATTAGCTGACTAGCATTGCTAAATTTTGCTGGGGACCTCAGCTAGATTTCTCGTAATTCTTCATGTGCAAGAATATGTAAAAGTAGTTATTTTCTTCAGAAAGAATGATCTTCTTCCTAGATTCTCTGCTTTTAAGTTGCTGACTTGTATTTCACAAAATAATTGCTGCATGAATTTTGTCTTGAGATTAGTATAGAATTTTCAACAATTTCTAAAATGGCCTCAAGCACACTTCCGCCATTTTTGTATTACAAATAATTTTTATGCAAAGTGGCATTTTCAGCATTAATAATTATAAAACAAAAACATTGATCAACTCTAAAAATCCCAGATGTTCTGCATCTTGCAGTATCAAATATTTAACCAAGATTTAATTCTTAATTTTAAAAATGCACAAGAACATCCAACTCATTAGCAGGCTAATTTGCTTTTCTTTATAGGAATAGTAAATATATGTAATAAACAAATATATAAATAACTATAATGTATATTAGTGAATATAGTTACATAAGATACTATAGCAAAGTATATATAATATCATTTAATATTTTGATTATTTAGTTATTCTGGCTAAATAATTTAACAACTTAATATGAAATATGCATTACAACATATGACATATATTATATTTTATATCTTATGGTAAATGTATTATATAGAATAAACATAAAAACAAGCATAATTAATAATTATTACATTTAAATTTCTTTATAACAACTATCAGATGTCTAAT